CCGTTTTTATAATTCTGGCCAAATTTGCAAACGGACATTTATGTCCGTTTTATAATTCCGGCCAAATTTTGCTGGGCGAAATTATCTTAATTCTGGCCAAATTAATGTGTAACCTTGAAAATTTTTTTGCCTTTTTTATAGTTACAAGGTGGTACAAAATGTACATTAATGCAATCCTTGACCATGAGTTTATAAGTAAATATCCGGTCAAAAGTTATAAAATTGCCTTATTTGTAATTAAATGTTGGTAAGTTGTTTGGACCAATCAGATCTCGTGGGCTAATCTGGCCCATGGGCAGTTTATAAGCTAGGATGTAGTGCACGCCCACTTAGCTTAGAAACTATGCCGATCATTTGGCTGGGGTGGATTTTTTATTGTAAGGGAGTTAAACGAAAAATAATTAGCCGCAACGTGATCTGGACCCGGCTCAGGCGTAGATCGTCGTGGAATTCCGGGGATTTTTTGCGATTAAACCGAGTCCGGATGATCGGCAATCAGGAATTCGGCTCCATTTTACACCATTATTTTTTTAACCAATATTGATAGGCTTTTTTATCCATCTTTTTAAATAATCAATCAACCGTAAGAATGTTAATACTATTAGGAATCATGGGATAATAAATATGCATCGAGAATTCTTTGGCTAGTGCCGAACTTTTGCTTTAACAATATATTAGTATGATAATGACAAAGATAAAAGTTTTAAAAATAGATAAATAAGTTCAGCCACCCTTGTTGAGCCCACCATAAATAAGTGTATTTACGTATTTGTCAAGATACAATAATAACTTGTACGATATGAGCAGTGCTAGAAATTCCAAAAAGTGCTTAACATATTATACCTTTTAATTTTATATTATCTCGCACGGCCTTATAGGATCATGTTGATTTTACTTGACCGATATTTTCATTATCGTAATTATCGTACAATACTGATATTAATAGCTTATTTGCGTACAATATTGATATTTATTTGCGTACAATATTGAATATTGAGCATGATCTGTAAATATCAGTTATTGTACGGTGTTGTATTTATATTGGTTAACGTGAAATACTACACATTTTCTGCCATAATTTATTTTGATTATAGAAATAATTGATTTATTAAAGAGTAAAGGTTCTTAATCAGAAGTTAGAAGTAGAAGTTACCAATACATATAAATAAATATTAATATTTAGAGAAAGAGTAGTTAAATTAATGTATTATGCAACGATATACTGTACAAATAACTTAAATTTAAAGATATTAGTTATTAATCAATAAAAATTAATTTGAGCATCACATCAAGAATAATTTCTTACATGTTTGAATACAAGAATTATAATAAATAGTTATAGACTTATAGTTCGGTCATTAGGAATATTGCGGTGACTAATAGGAATTAATGCTACTAATACTGATTTCAACATTGGATGTCTCATAGAAATATTGGTCAGTAAAATCCCACATATTCCTAATCGACTGAACAATAACTATAATTAAAATTGACCGTTTTCCATAAGTAAATATTTTACTTTTATTTTGACTAATTTGATTAGCCAATTGAACTGTAGGTTGAGCTTGTACGGAAGGTTGATGTTGTCGATTTCTTGTTTCTAGTTGAAAAAAATTATATTAAAAGTATATTTGAACTTTATACATCTAAATAAAATCATAATACTAGTAACAAAATAACAATACCTGAATTATGGGTATCGAATATTTCGCTTCCGCTAGCTTTTGGTGAACAAAGATTTTTTCTAACTGTTATTATTATATTTTCACGAATCATTTTTTTATTTAAATTTTCAAAGATAATTAAATTTCAAGGATAAAATACTTTGAAAGTGAATTCTAAAGAGATTGTCGATTTGTAATTATTACACCAATGCATAACAAATTTAATTTTTTTTTTTTTTTTTTTTT